TGATGGTGCTCCGTGTATGGTGGGGAAAAACAAAGGATTTGTGGCGCTTCTCCGTGAACATGAAAATAGACCCATCCTAAGTTTCCATTGCATTATACACCAGGAGGCACTTTGTGCTCAGATGTGTGACAGGCAGTTTGGCGAAGTGATGTCGCTGGTCATTCGTGTGATCAACTTTATTGTTGCCCGAGCCTTAAATGATCGCCAGTTTAAAACACTGCTGGATGAAGTTGTAAATAACTATCCTGGTCTGCTTTTGCACAGCAATGTGCGTTGGTTGTCAAGAGGGAAGGTGCTTAGCCGTTTTGCGGCTTGCCTGAACGAAATCCGGACTTTCCTTGAAATGAAAGGCGTCGGGCATCCTGAGCTAGCCGACACCGAGTGGCTCCTCAAGTTTTACTATCTCGTAGATCTGACTGAACATCTGAACCAGCTCAACGTGAAAATGCAAGGCATTGGAAATACAGTGTTATCCCTTCAACAAGCTGTATTTGCTTTTGAAAACAAGCTGGAGCTTTTCATCACGGATCTTGAAACAGGTCGTTTACTACATTTTGAAAAACTGAGCCAATTTAAAGATGCATGCACAGCAAGTGAGCCCATTCAAAACCTTGATCTCCACCAGCTAGCTGGCTGCACATCCAGTCTCCTACAGTCCTTCAAAGCACGCTTTGGAGAATTTCGTGAGCACACTCGTCTTTTTAAGTTCATCACCCATCCAAACGAGTGTTCACTGAACACAGCCGACCTGAATTACATCCCTGGTGTCTCCGTCAGAGATTTTGAAGCAGAAGTGGCTGACCTGAAGGCCTCAGACATGTGGGTGAATAAGTTCAAGTCACTGAATGAAGATTTGGAAAGAATCACACGACAGAAAGCGGAGTTGGCGAGCAAGCACATGTGGACAGAAATGAAAAAACTCCAACCCGAAGACCAGCTGATTCTCAAAACTTGGAACGCGCTTCCTGTCACATACCACACACTGCAGCGTGTGAGTATTGCTGTATTGACCATGTTTGGATCTACGTATGCATGTGAGCAGTCATTCTCACATCTTAAAAACATCAAGTCCAACCTACGATCACGTTTAACGGATGAAAGCCTCAACGCTTGCATGAAGCTTAACCTCACCAAGTACCAACCCGACTACAAAGTACCAACCCGACTACAAAGACATCAGCAAATCCATGCAGCACCAGAAGTCGCATTAATGGTGAGTGTTATAACAACATTATTTAAAAGAATAAATTCAGAGGCTTATTATACTGACATTTAGTTGAATTCACTTTTAAAATATATTATATGGCTCTCACTGAAATAAATTTCCAAATGTTTTGCTTTCATGGCTCTCTTAGTCAAAAAGGTTCCCGACCCCTGGACTATAGTGTGTAGTGTAGTGTATAGTGTGTAGTGTAGTGTATAGTGTAGTAGTGTATAGTGTAGTGTATAGTAGTGTAGTGTGTAGTGTAGTGTATAGTGTAGTGTATAGTGTAGCACTACACCGGTTGTGTGTTGGAGAGCAAATCCACAACATTTATAAATCTGAGAAAGACGTTTCGCCAGTAATCACAACCAGCATCATCAGGCGGACAGCCAGATAGTGCCCCTTACTGAATATCTGTGACACAAAGAGCTTCATAGCTTATCGGATACCCCCTACACCATAAAGATTCAGATTTATTTTTAAAAAAAATCTGATTACATCATTGTGTGGTGACGTCACCCGTATCGCATCTCCCCCCTCGGAGTCTGTTGGGATCAAAGCGCGATGACGTCATACGTCTCCATCACCCCCCACAACCCCCACCCCCCACACTCCTCTCGACCCCCACTCCCTAAACTCCCCCACCCCTCCTCACCTCCACCCCCCACCCCACCCCCACCCCCCACCCCCACTCCCCCCACCCCCCCCCCACTCCCCCATTCGAATTTTCCCGCGCCGAGCCAAGGAAGGGAGAAGCCGCGTCAATGGCGTCAGCTCCCACAGAGGCAAGGACGTTACATTACACGGGGATTACATTACACGGAGATTACATTACACGGGGATTACATTACACGGGGATTACATTACATGGGGATTACATCACACTGGGGTTACATTATACGGGGATTACATTACACGGGGATTACATTACACGGGGACTACATTACACGGGGATTACATTCGGGCTGCACTACACGGATATTACTTTCACAATACATTATACGGGAATTACAAGTTACATCACCTGAGGTAATGTTACCTTATCTGAAGGATTACATTTGGATTACATTACACGGTGATTATTATAAGGGTTACATTACACGGGGGTTACATTACAGTCCGTATTTAAAATCGTGTAAGATTTACGCTACGAGACGACTTCACGTTACGATTACAGCTCCACATCTAGTACAGTGTTGACACGAGCGACTAATTAATTGTACAATATTTACTTTGCACTGAATGAGAATGTCGCGGTGAAGATTACCTTATAATGTAACGTGATTTTATTCGGATTGCATCACATTCTGATTACCTTACCCTCAGTGAGGTAATGTTACCTCACCTGAGGTAAAGTTATCTCACCTGAGGTAAAGTTACCTCTACCTAACGTAATGTTACCTCACTTGAGGTAAAGTTACCTCACCTGAGGTAAGATATCTCACCTGAGGTAAATTGAAATAACGTGGGGTAATGTTACCTCTACCTGAGGTAAAGTTACTTCACCTCAGGAAAAGTTACCTCAACTGAAGTAATTTAACTTCACCTACGGTAATGTTACCTCGCATGAGGTAAAGTTACCTCATTTGAGATACTGTTACTTTACCTGAGGTAAATTTACCTCGCCTAAGGTAAAGTTACCTCATCTGAGGTAAAGTTATCTCACCTGAGGTAAAGTTACCTCTACTTAACGTTATATTACATCACTTGAGGTAAAGCTACTTCACCTGAGGTAATGTTTCCTCTACCTGAAGTAAAGTTATCTCATCTGAGGTAAATTTACCTCGCCTAAGGTAAAGTTATCTCAACTGAGGTAAAGTTTCCTCTACCTGAGGTAACGTTACCTCACTTGAAGTAAAGTTACCTCACCTGAGGTAACGTTACCTCACCTGAGGTAAAGTTACCTCTACCTAACGTAATGTTACCTCACTTGAGGTAAAGTTATCTCATTTGAGGTAAAGTTACCTCACCTGAGGTAAAGTTATCTAACCTGAGGTAAATTTAACTAACGTGGGGTAATGTTACCTCTACCTGAGGTAAAGTTACTTCACCTCAAGAAAAGTTACCTCACCTGAAGTAATTTTACTTCACCAAAGGTAATGTTACCTCGCATGAGGTAAAGTTATCTCTCTTGAGATGTTACTTCACCTGAGGTAATTTTACCTCTGCTTGAGGTAAAGTTACCTGGCCTGAGGTAAAGTTATCTCACCTGAGGTAATGTTACCTCTACCTAACGTAATGTTACCTCACTTGAGGTAAAGTTATCTCACCTGAGATAAAGTTACCTCCCCTGAGGCAACGTTATCTCACCTCAGGTAAATTTAACTAACGTGGGGTAATGTTACCTCTACCTGAGGTAAAGTTACTTCACCTCAAGAAAAGTTACCTCACCTGAAGTAATTTTACTTCACCAAAGGTAATGTTACCTCGCATAAGGTAAAGTTATCTCTCTTGAGATGTTACTTCACCTGAGGTATTTTTACCTCTGCCTGAGGTAATTTTACCTCTGCTTGAGGTAAAGTTACCTGGCCTGAGGTAAAGTTATCTCACCTGAGGTAATGTTACCTCTACCTAACGTAATGTTACCTCACTTGAGGTAATGTTACCTCACTTGAGGTAAAGTTATCTCATTTGAGGTAAAGTTACCTCACCTGAGGTAAAGTTATCTCACCTGAGGTAATGTTACCTCTACCTGAGGTAATGTTACCTCACTTGAAGTAAAGTTACCTCCCCTGAGGTAAAGTTACCTCACCTGAGGTAACGTTACCTCTACCTAACGTAATGTTACCTCACTTGAGGTAAAGTAATCTCATTTGTGGTAAAGTTACCTCACCTGAGGTAAAGTTAGCTCACATGAGGTAAAGTTAGCTCACATGAGGTAAAGTTAGCTCACATGAGGTAAAGTTACCGCATCTGAGGTAAATTTAACTAACGTGGGGTAAAGTTACCTCTATCTGGAGCTAGTACGTCATGGTAGAGGTGGGGAGTCCTCACACTTTACCACAAAGACAAAGATCCCCCGTGTAGCCTCTAACAGGCTGTTAGTGAGCAGCACCCATTTAGGCTACCGGCACTGTGGCACACGAGGGGGTGGGTGGCCAGCACCACGCCCGGCCGCCTTTGTCTCCCCAGTGGCGATGTTCACACACCGCTACACCGGGTGCTCATTTGAGGCCGAGTCGACCTAGGGGACGAGGTCCCAGGACCGGTTCAGATGGTCGTCACCGCTGTTGGTGGTGGCCGTGAGCGGGAATGGAACTCGGGTCTCTGCCGGCTTCGTAGCGCAGCGCTCGGCCAACACCGGCGACGATCTTCTAACCCGGTCCTGGGCCTCGTCCCCTAGGTCGACTCAGCCTCAAATGAGCACCTTGTGTAGCGGTGTGTGAACATCGCCACTGGGGAGACAAAGGCGGCCGGGCGTGGTGCTGGCCACCCACCCCCTCGCGCTTTGTTCCGGCCTTCATAGGCGCTGCTCGCTAACAGCGCTTGCCCAGACAGTCTGTTAAGGCCACACGGGGGATCTTTGTCTCGTATCCCTGTGACTCGCTATCCGTGTGACTCCATCTCCGTGACTCGCTATCCGTGTGACTCCATCTCCATGACTCGCTATCCGTGTGACTCCATCTCCGTGACTCGCTATCCGTGTGACTCCATCTCCGTGACTCGCTATCCGTGTGAGTCCATCTCCGTGACTCGCTATCCGTGTGACTCCGTCTCCGTGACTGCTTCTCCGTGACCGCGTCTGACCGTCGTCCGCGTCTCGTCCCCTCCGTGTCTCTGCGCCTCAGCAGCAGGAGATGGGCGACTTCCGAGACATCAGAGGCTTCTTCACCAAGGCCGAGTGGGGCGATCTGGCCGAGTGCGAGAAGCGGCGCTACAGGAACATCAAGCAGAACCACGCCGTCATGCTGAACCTCGGTGGGTACGGCAGGCCCTAGCCTCTTCACAACTAAACTAATTGTCGTAGTGATTATAATGATGATGAGACCAGAACGTCGTAGCAGAGTGCCATGCACGGGGCGCCACGGTGGCTATGAGATGTTAACTCCCTCGCCTGGTCTACAGGAGGTCATGGGTTTGATGCCGACCCTGACGATGCCTATCACATATCTGGAGTCTGCGTGTGTCTCTCCCCCGTGAAATGTTAACTACCTCGCCTGGTCTACAGGAGGTCGTGGATTCGATGCCTGTCATATATGTGGAGTCTACGTGTGTCTCTCCCCGGTGAGATGTTAACTACCTCGCCTGGTGTACAGGAGGTTGTGGGTTCGATGCCGACCCTGACGATGCCTGTCATATATCTGGAGTCTGCGTGTGTCTCTCCCCCGTGAGATGTTAACTCCCTCGCCTGGTCTACAGGAGGTCGTGGGTTCGATCCCGGTCCTCTGGGTTGTCGCTCCACAATGTAGAATCAACATCACGCGTTTAACGTATTTGGCTGCTGCTGTAAATGTCCACGTGGTGAGCCACTTGGTTGAGCTGTCATTTGTGGCAGCCAGGTGGCTTCTGAAGAAGCCGATAGCTCAGTGGACTTCACCTGGTGAAGTAAAAATAGATTTAGTTTTAGAATAATGATTTGTTTACCTTTCCTCTACTTTGCACTGCTATCGTGTTTGTGTATTGTGTCGTTGTTGTTGTCATTTTCCTGGCCCCGTGCCCCCTATGGGACATGTGTGAAAAAGAGCTTCATAGCTCATCGGATTCCTAATGTTGGAGAGTAAACCCACAACATTTACAAAAATAGTTTATTTTGTGTGTGTGTGATTTGTTAACCTTTCCTATACTTTGCACTCCTATCGTGTTTACTGTATTGCTTGGTGTTGTTGTAGCAGCCACATTATATAGATGAACGTAGTGGCGGTGGTACACCGTTACGCTGTATAAAATAATCAGCACATTGTTGGCGATAACTTTTTTATTTTCCTCGCGATTCGAGACCCCGGTCAGAAGGATATTACGGGGTGGTGGTGGTGGTGGTGCGTCAAAATCAGTTGTCGTGATGCCGTAGCGGCGGGAAGACGGAACGGGACACGAGCAGAACTGAACACGAAGCTTCGAAGTCTGTTGACGTACAGCGGCGCCCAGTCTGATGACGATCTGCTGCTCCGTGCTCCAGTCGTGCCCAGTGTGATGACGATCTGCTGCTCTGTGCTCCAGCGGCTGCTCCGTGCTCCAGCGGCAAGATTTGACTCCTCGTGCCCCTAGAGACTCGGTGGGACGGTTCCTCGATACGACTCGTGGTGTCGCCACCGCACGTTCGGAATGGGGGACGCGGCTGCTGAATCTGAGTGCAACTTCTGACGGACAGTCCTGCAGCTCACTCAAGGGGCGACAGCGACATCGTCGGGACTATGAAAAATAAGAATAGGTTTTACGCTTTAGGGGAATGAAACAGGAGGCGGTTAAGATGTTCAAACACCAGATAGATTGTAGATTTTGCAAGGAATCAAGTTACCGCATTAACCACGCGTACTTGTGGCGAACACGACAAACAAACACTCTCCGGTAATATTTAATCGTTGCCTTTGAAACTGATTGGTCTACCCCAGAGACAGCCTTCTTCATGGCCCAGTCTCACCAGTGTCAGACCAGAAAACAACACCAAAAGGCGACCAGTACAAAGACAATGCAGCATCGAGAGCATTGATAGCTCGGGGTGAGCAGCTATATGACGGAACCTTTTTGCGAGTATCAAAGCGTGAAAAATAAGAATCGGTTTCACCCTTTCTGGCAATAAAACAGGAGGCGTTAAGATGTCCACACACCAAATAGATTATTCCTTTTGCAAGGAATCAAAGCTACTGCATTAACCACGCGTGCTTGTGGCGAACACGACAAACAAACACTCTCCGATAATAATCTTACATCGTCAGGACTGTGTTACGAGGAACCGGTGAGTCGCTATGCTGCACCGGTGTACCGCCAATACGTCCAAATAACAATGACCGACTGCCTCCTTGCGCAGGGATGAACCCGGCCCAGCCCGAGTTCATGCGAGCACGCGGCAAGCGCAGGGCGAGGGGGAATGGAGCGGAGTGCGGGCGGTCGAGCGACTCCGACGAGGAATGGACGAGGAGGAGGAAGACGAAGGAGGTGGCGGTGCACGGAGGACGAAGAGGCGGAGGAGGCAAACGTAAAAGGGCGCTTGCACAGCGTGCAGAGACCCCCTGTAGACTCACACAGAGACCCTCTGTAGACTCACACAGAGACCCCTGTAGACTCACACAGAGACCCACTGTAGACTCACGCAGAGACCCCCTGTAGAGTCACACAGAGACCCCTGTAGACTCACACAGAGACCCCTGTAGACTCACACAGAGACCCCCTGTAGACTCACACAGAGAACCCTGTAGACTCACACAGAGACCCACTGTAGACTCACGCAGAGTCCCCCTGTAGAGTCACACAGAGACCCCTGTAGACTCACACAGAGACCCCTGTAGACTCACACAGAGACCCCCTGTAGACTCACACAGAGACCCCTGTAGACTCATGCAGAGGCCACCTGTAGACTCACACAGAGACCCCCTGTAGACTCACACAGAGACCCCCTGTAGACTCACACAGAGACCCCTGTAGACTCACACAGAGACCCCCTGTAGACTCACACAGAGACCCCTGTAGACTCACACAGAGACCCCCTGTAGATCCACACAGAGACCCCCTGTAGACTCACATAGAGACCCCTGTAGACTCACACAGAGACCCCTGTAGACTCACACAGAGACCCCCTGTAGACTCACACAGAGACCCCCTGTAGACTCACGCAGTGACCCCTGTAGACTCACACAGAGACCCCCTGTAGACTCACACAGAGACCCCTGTAGACTCACGCAGAGACCCCCTGTAGACTCACACAGAGACCCCCTGTAGACTCACACAGAGACCCCCTGTAGACTCACACAGAGACCCCTGTAGACTCACACAGAGACCCCTGTAGACTCACACAGAGACCCCTGTAGACTCACACAGAGACCCCCTGTAGACTCACACAGGGACCCCCTGTAGACTCACATAGAGACCCCTGTAGACTCACACAGAGACCCCCTGTAGACTCACACAGAGACCCCCTGTAGACTCACACAGAGACCCCCTATAGACTCACGCAGTGACCCCTGTAGACTCACACAGAGAGCCCCTCTACGACTCACACAGAGACCCCTGTACACTCACACAGAGACCCCCTGTAGACTCACACAGAGACCCCTGTAGACTCACACAGAGACCCCCTGTAGACTCACACAGAGACCCCTGTAGACTCACACAGAGACCCCCTGTAGACTCACACAGAGACCCCTGTAGACTCACACAGAGACCCCTGTAGACTCACACAGAGACCCCCTGTAGACTCACACAGAGACCCCTGTAGACTCACACAGAGACCCCCTGTAGACTCACACAGAGACCCCTGTAGACTCACACAGAGACCCACTGTAGACTCACGCAGAGACCCCCTGTAGAGTCACACAGAGACCCCTGTAGACTCACACAGAGACCCCTGTAGACTCACACAGAGACCCCCTGTAGACTCACACAGAGAACCCTGTAGACTCACACAGAGACCCACTGTAGACTCACGCAGAGTCCCCCTGTAGAGTCACACAGAGACCCCTGTAGACTCACACAGAGACCCCTGTAGACTCACACAGAGACCCCCTGTAGACTCACACAGAGACCCCTGTAGACTCATGCAGAGGCCACCTGTAGACTCACACAGAGACCCCCTGTAGACTCACACAGAGGCCCCCTGTAGACTCACACAGAGACCCCTGTAGACTCACACAGAGACCCCCTGTAGACTCACACAGAGACCCCTGTAGACTCACACAGAGACCCCCTGTAGATCCACACAGGGACCCCCTGTAGACTCACATAGAGACCCCTGTAGACTCACACAGAGACCCCTGTAGACTCACACAGAGACCCCCTGTAGACTCACACAGAGACCCCCTGTAGACTCACGCAGTGACCCCTGTAGACTCACACAGAGACCCCCTGTAGACTCACACAGAGACCCCTGTAGACTCATGCAGAGACCCCCTGTAGACTCACACAGAGACCTCCTGTAGACTCACACAGAGACCCCCTGTAGACTCACACAGAGACCCCTGTAGACTCACACAGAGACCCCTGTAGACTCACACAGAGACCCCTGTAGACTCACACAGAGACCCCCTGTAGATTCACACAGGGACCCCCTGTAGACTCACATAGAGACCCCTGTAGACTCACACAGAGACCCCCTGTAGACTCACACAGAGACCCCCTGTAGACTCACACAGAGACCCCCTGTAGACTCACGCAGTGACCCCTGTAGACTCACACAGAGAGCCCCTCTACGACTCACACAGAGACCCCTGTACACTCACACAGAGACCCCCTGTAGACTCACACAGAGACCCCTGTAGACTCACACAGAGACCCCCTGTAGACTCACACAGAGACCCTTGTAGACTCACACAGAGACCCCCTGTAGACTCACACAGAGACCCCTGTAGACTCACACAGAGACCCCTGTAGACTCACACAGAGACCCCCTGTAGACTCACACAGAGACCCCTGTAGACTCACACAGAGACCCCCTGTAGACTCATACAGAGCCCCCCTGTCGACTCACACAGAGACCCCCTGTAGACTCACACAGAGACCCCTGTAGACTCACACAGAGACCCCCTGTAGACTCACACAGAGACCCCTGTAGACTCACACAGAGACCCCTGTAGACTCACACGGAGACCCCCTGTAGACTCACAGAGACCCATGTAGACTCACACGGAGACCCCCTGTAGACTCACACAGAGACCCCTGTAGACTCACACGGAGACCCCCTGTAGACTCACACAGAGACCCCCTGTAGACTCACACAGAGACCCCCTGTAGACTCACACAGAGACCCCCTGTAGACTCACACAGAGACCCCTGTAGACTCACACAGAGACCCTGTAGACTCACGCAAACACCCCTGTAGACTCACACGGAGGCCCCCTGTAGACTCACACAGAGACCCCTGTAGACTCACACAGAGACCCCTGTAAACTCACACAGAGACCCCCTGTAGACTCACACAGAGACCCCTGTAGACTCACACAGAGACCCCTGTAGACTCACACAGAGACCCCTGTAGACTCACGCAGAGACCCCTGTAGACTCACACAGAGACCCCCTGTAGACTCACACAGAGACCCCTGTAGACTCACACAGAGACCCCTGTAGACTCACGCAAACACCCCTGTAGACTCACACGGAGGCCCCCTGTAGACTCACACAGAGACCCCTGTAGACTCACACAGAGACCCCTGTAGACTCACACAGAGACCCCCTGTAGACTCACACAGAGACCCCTGTAGACTCACACAGAGACCCCTGTAGACTCACACAGAGACCCCTGTAGACTCACACAGAGACCCCTGTAGACTCACACAGAGACCCCCTGTAGACTCACACAGAGACCCCCTGTAGACTCACACAGAGACCCCTGTAGACTCACGCAGAGACCCCTGTAGACTGTTAAGGCTGCACAAGGGAGATAATTTATTTGTAAATATGTGAGTGAGTAAATGCGTGCATGCGTAAATACGCACGTGGGTGTGTTCACACGTGTGCGCGTGTGTTAACGCCTGTGCATATGGGTAGCGGTAGTGTAGCGGTAAGCGCGCTGCGCTATGAACCTGGCGACCCGGGTTTGATTCCCGCTCACGGTCAACACCAGTGACAATTATCTGAACCGGTCCTTGGCCTCCCCTAGGTCGACTCAGCCTCAAATGAGCACCTGGTGCGGTGTGTAAACATTGCCACTGGGGAGACAAAGGCGGTCGGGCGTGGTGCTGGCCACCCACCCCCTCGTGTACCATTCCGGCCTTCGTAGGTGCTCACTAAGAGCACTTGCCCCTACAGTCTGTTAAGGCTATACGGGGGATCTTTGTCTTTGCATATATTCATGCGTGTCCGTGTGAACACACGTGTGTGCGTGCGTTCACACGTGTGTGTGTTCACACGTGTGTGCGTGTGTTCACGTGTGTGCGTTCACACGTGTGTGCGTGTGTTCACGTGTGTGCGTGTTCACACGTGTGTGGGTGTGTTCACACGTGTGTGCGTGTGTTCACACGTGTGTGCGTGTGTTCACGCAGGAGGAGGCAAGGGGGCTGCTTCACGCTGGGCTACCGTGGGAGAGTCGCACGCGAGGGCAGCTCCCAGCAAGCGCAAGGTCTCTGTGCACAGCGCACGGCACTCCTCTCGTTACAGCTGCTGCTGTTGTTGTTGTTGTCTTTAGTTTGTTGTCCTTCCCACGCACCTCCCATTAGCGAGGTTGGCTACGTACGGTGCCAAAGAACTTCAACGTACGTACGTACTACTAAACACTACTATACCAGGGACGTGCGGTCAGGGGAGGCAGGCGAGGCTAGAGCCTCACCTCTCATATACTCCAATGAAAATAACTGTTACGAAACGTAAAAAACAATGTTTCCACTGATCTGTGTTATAAATGTCATTTCTGTATAATTCCAATCATTACAGAGAGATGGTAACAGGCACGCGCTTATTGCCCGCGCTCCATCCAGTTTCTGAGGGGTTGTGCAATCAGAGGGGAGGCTGAGCTCGTCGCTGCCTCACCTCTCGTCTCCCTGTATTTGCAGCGGAGCTCCGCACATTTGGCGATTTTGACGATCAACATTATTGGAGTCGTACAGAAATGACGTAACACGGATCAGTGGAAGAATCTTAATTTGTATTTTATTACTTTTTACTTTTCGTAGAAGAGGCTTGGCCTGCCATACCCACCGAGGTTCAGCATGACGACGGCATGGTTCTGCGTGATGTATGGAATCAGATATACAGAATCAGAATATCAGAATTAGAATATGTATTGTACTGGAGGAATCCGATGAGGTGTCAGGGTCGAGATCGAACCCGCGACCTCCTGCGTACCAGGCGAGGGAGTTAACATCTCCTAGCCACCGCTGGTCACCGCACCAACTCTGCCCCCCACACCCCCTCCCGACCCCTCACCCCACCGCCCCCTCCGCTCAGACTAAAGCGGAAGCCCTGGAGTACGTGTGGAGCATCTTGCAGGGCGTGGAGGAGGAGCAGCAGCAGGAGGAGGAGTTCAGGGGATTTGAGCTGAGGGAGGTGCACAAGGCCAGGATGGCGATGTTCAGGCTGGAGCGCAGAGCCACCGCCTGCAAGGAGGCCCTGAGGGTGGTGCTCCAGAGGATACGTGGAGGTGGGTAGCCTGCAGCGGTGATTTCTATTCACACCGCAACTCCAACATCAATAGCCCCGCACCACTTCTTCATGACCCTTGGGCAACACCCATTTCAAACCTTTTAGAACACTCTGCCTCAGCAGCAGACCATGCTTTCTCACTTGATGACGGACGCTTGTGTTGCACCCGAAACGTCGTGATTTATTTTATTTTATACCTACTACGTGACTTTACCGAAAGAACCAAAGAGTATGGATTCCTGCAGTCACGAAAGCTTCAAATCAAGAGTGACGTTGATTCTAAATGTCCAGGAAAAAACGCAGGACCCGGGGAAAAATCCACGCAACCACGGGGAGGTACAACACGCAGACTCACCGGAACTCCACGCTCCTCTCTATTCTCACCGGAACTCCACACTTCCCTCTATTCTCACCGGAAACCACGCAACCACGGGGAGGTACAACACGCAGACTCCAAACATACAGCGTGGGTCGTTAGGGTCGGGATCGCACCCACGACCTCCCGTAGACCACGCGAGGGAGTCAACGTCTCGCCACGGAGAGAGAGAGAGACGCACGGACTCCAGATGTACGGCAGGCTTCGTCAGGGTCGGGATGGAACCCACGACCTCCCGTACACCGGGAGAGGTGGTCAACATCTCGCCGCGTTTGCCCGCAGGCTCCTCCGTGCCGCCGGCCTCCTCCGCCCAGGCTGCGGCGGTGTCGCTCAGCGCTCGCTCTCGCTACGGCCTGCGGCAGCGCGAGAGGAAAGTCTACACAGAGGTGGAGGAGCCCCAGGACGACGACTTCTTCTGTGAGACCCCCTGCTCCCTCTACCTCTCTCTCTCACTTTCTCACTCTCTCACTCTCTGTTACTCTCTCACTCTCTCTCACTGTCACTTTCTTACTCTCACGTTGTCACACTCTCTCACTGTCACTTTCTCACTCTCTGTCACTTTCTCACTCTCTCTCTCTCTCTTACTCTAACTTTCTCACACTCTCTCTCTCGCTTTGTTACACTCTCACTGTCTCACACTCTCACCTATCTCCCTCTATTGCTCCCACGCTCTCACTCGATATATTCCACCTGCTCCCTCTCACTCTCTCCCCCTCGCCCTCCCTCTCACACGCTCCCTTTCTTGCACTCTCACTCACCTCTCTCTCTTTTGCTCCCTCGCTCAGGGATGCAGGGAGGGAGGGATGCAGGGAGGGTGACAGGGGATACATCTCCGATGAGCGAGCTAAATAAGTTCACCATGCAGAGAGGGAGGGATGGAGGCATCTGTCTGGAGCGCTCCTCACCCTCTCACTCTCTCACAGTGCCACTGCTGCTGCTGCTTCTGCTACTGCGATTCGCCCCCCCTGCTGCTGCTGCTGTGGCTCTCAGTCTGCGAGCTGTGCAGGGATTTCTACCTGGGGGAGTGCTCCGTGCACGGCCCGCCAGAGTTCATCGCGGACGCGGCCGTGGCCCCGGGAGTGGCCGACAGGGCCCGGCTCAGCCTGCCCCAGGGCCTCACCGTCGGCGCCTCCTCCATCGCCGGCGCCGGCCTCGGGGTGTGGAGCAACAGGAAGAAGCTGCCCAAGGGGGTGATGTTTGGGCCCTACCAGGGAGAGGTGTCTGAGGAGAACCCCGTGAGCGAGTACTGCTGGCTGGTGAGCTGCTGCTGCTGCTGCTGCTGCCACTGCCACTGCTGCAGCCTCCTCCTATTCCTACATCATCATCGTCGTCGTCGTGTGTGGAGAGGAGGCTCGTGAAGGAGATACAGAGAAACCCATAGCTTCACACAGTCACCCACAGACTCACACAGAAGAGACCTTAGAGACTCACGCAGAGACCCAGAGTCTCACACAGAGACCTTAGAGACTCGCACAGAGACCCAAAGTCTCACACAGAGACCCAGAGACTCGCACAGAGACCCAGAGAATCGCACAGAGACCCACAGACTCACACAGAGAGACCCACAGACTCACACAGAGACCTAGAGACTTGCACAGAGACCCACAGTCTCACACAGAGACCCAGAGACTCGCACAGAGACTTGCACAGAGACCCACAGAATCGCACAGAGACCCACAGTCTCACACAGAGACCCAGAGAATCGCACAGAGACCCACAGTCTCACACAGAGACCCAGAGACTCGCACAGAGACCCAGAGACTCGCACAGAGACTCAGAGACTCGCACAGAGACCCACAGTCTCATACAGAGACCCAGAGACTCGCACAAAGACTCACACAGGGACCCACAGATTCACAGAGGGACCCACAGATTCACAGAGGGACCCAAAATTTAACGTCATAATGAGTTCAACTTGTAACCCACAGTAGCCGCTCGCTCGCAAGGACAGAACAACTTCGATGCGTAAGGAGGAACCACAGACTGGTGGTTCCTCCTCACGCACTCCTTACGCAAAATAAACCACGACACCTCGCGGCTGATCTCGTCAAGAAGCATAAACCATCATCACGCAAACTCTGTTCATGCTCGCAGCAGCAGCAGCGGCGGCGTTTGGCTACACATCGTGCAAAGACGATGGTCAGCGCATGGCGCGGCTCTTACAGACGCACTTCTGCGGCCGTCTGGAAGGTTCTTGCTTCCAATATGAGGAAGCCACTGGGAGCTATGCACTTTTAAATCTTGTAGATTTAAAATTCATTTCTTTAGAACTGCTCTTAGTGTTTAGTTTGTTGTCCTTCCCCCCGCACCTCCGATCAGCACGGTTGGCTACGTCCGGTACGAAAGAAGTTCAAGTTACGGTCCAACTCACATTAATTATCCGTGGATCTGCTCGTGTGCGTGTGTGTTTCAGATTTACAAAAACAAAAAGGATCGTGAATATGTTGATGCTCAGGATGAATCAAAATCAAATTGGATGAGGTGATTCTTGTCTTAAGGACCACTGCACAGAGAGACCAGAACCACCACACACAGAGACCAGAATCACTACAGAGACCAGAACCACCAAACAGACCAGAACCGCTACACACAGAGACCAGAACCACTACACACAGAGACCAGAACCACCACACACAGAGACCAGAACCACTACACAAAGTGACCAGAACCACTACACACAGAGACCAGAACCACTACACACAGAGACCAGAACCATGACATACAGAGACCAGAACCACCACACACAGAGACCAGAACCACTACACATAGAGACCAGAACCACTACACACAGAGAGCAGAACTACTACACACAGAGACCAGAACCACTACACATAGAGACCAGAACCACTACACACAGAGACCAGAACCACTACACATAGAGACCAGAACCACTACACACAGAGACCAGAACTACTACACACAGAGACCAGAACCACTACAGAGACCAGAACCACTACACAGAGACCAGAACCACTACACAGAGACCAGAACCACCACACACAGAGACCAGAACCACCACACACAGAGACCAGAACCACTACACATAGAGACCTGAACCACGACACACAGAGATCGGAACCACTACACACAGAGACCAGAACCACCACACAGAGACCAGAACCACTACACACAGAGACCAGAACCACCACACGTAGAGACCAGAACCACTACACACAGAGACCCGAACCACTACACACAGAGACCAGAACCACTACACACAGAGACCAGAACCACCACACAGAGACCAGAACCACCACACACAGAGACCAGAACCAAGACACACAGAGACCAGAACTACTACACACAGAGACCAGAACCACTACACACAGAGACCAGAACCACGACACATAGAGACCAGAACCACTACACATAGACCAGAACAACTACACAAAGACCAGAACCACTACACAGAGACCAGAACCACCACACACAGAGACCAGAACCACGACACATAGAGACCAGAACCACTACACACAGAGACCAGAACCACCACACACAGAGACCAGAACCACTACAGAGACCAGAACCACCAAACAGAGACCAGAACCACTACACACAGAGACCAGAACCACTATACAGAGACCAGAACCACTATACAGAGACCAGAACCACCACACACAGAGACCAGAATCACCACACACAGAGACCAGAACCACTACAGAGACCAGAACTACTACACACAGACCAGAACCACTACACACAGAGACCAGAACCACTACACATAGAGACCTGAACCACGACACACAGAGACCAGAACCACCACACACAGAGACCAGAACCACTACACACAGAGACCAGAACCACTGCACCCAGAGACCCTGGGCCTCCCCTTGTTCGACTCGGCATCAAATGAGCACCCGGTACTGAGCGTGGTTCCAGCCCCACCACCCCAACGTAGCGCCCAGTGCCGGCCCTTAATAGGCGCTCGCTAACGGCGCCCACCCCGCCCCCCGCGTCTGCCCCCGCAGGTTCGTCAACTGCGCGAGGAATGAGCAGGAGCAGAACCTGGTGGCCTTCCAGCACCGGGGGCAGATTTACTACCGCACGTTCCGTGCCGTGGGGCCCGGCTCTGAGCTGCTGGTCTGGTACGGCGAGGAGTTCGCCCAGGAGCTGGGCATCGCCTGCGAGGCCGGGCCCTCGCGACGCCGCAGCAGCAGCAGCGAGTTGGCTCCCAGGGCCACCGCCAGAGACCTGCAGCCCGTGCAGCCTCCACCAAGCGAGGAACACTGTGAGCACCGCTCACCAGAGACTCACCACTGCTCACCAGACTATAGCCACTACTCACCAGAGATGATAGCCACCACTCACCAGAGATGATAGCCACCACTCACCAGAGATGATAGCCACCACTCACCAAAGATGATAGCCACCACTCACCAGAGATGATAGCCACCACTCACCAGAGATGATAGCCACCACTCACCGGAGATGATAGCCACCACTCACCAGAGATGATAGCCACCACTCACCAGCAATGATAGCCACCACTCACCAGAGATGATAGCCACCACTCACCAGCAATGATAGCCACCACTCACCAGAGATGATAGCTTCCGCTCACCAGAGATGATAGCCACCGCTCACCAGAGATGATAGCCACCACTCACCAGAGATGATAGCCCCCACTCACCAGCAATGATAGCCACCACTCACCAGAGATGATAGCCACCACTCACCAGAGATGATAGCCACCACTCACCAGAGATGATAGCCACCACTCACCAGAGATGATAGCCACCACTCACCAGAGATGATAGCCACCGCTTACCAGAGATGATAGCCACCGCTCACCAAAGATGATAGCCACCGCTTACCAGAGATGATAGCCACTGCTCACCAGAGATGATAGGCACCACCCACACTAATAAGGTGCAAGTTAGTAACAGGTGTGGTGTGTAGTAGTAAACATCGCCACTGGGGAGACAAAGGCGGCCATGTGTGGTGCTGGCCGCCCTCCCGCTCGTGTGCCGTGCTGGCCTTCATCGGTGCCCGATAACAGCACTTGTCCCATAAGTATATACAGGCTACACGGGGGTTCTTTGTCTTTGTGTGTATATATAATGGGGCCCAGGCCACCTGAGTTCGATTCCCACTCACGGTCAACGTCAGTGGTGAATATTTAGGCCTCCCCTAGGTTGACTCAGCCTCAAATGAGTACCTAGCTTAAACGTGGAAACATCGCCACTGGAGAGACAAAGGCGGCCGGGCCTGGTGTTGGCCACCTACTCCCTCGTGTGCCATGCCAGCCTTCATAGGTACTCGCAAACAGCACTTGCCCCAATAGTCTGATATGGCTGTTGGGGACCTTTACCTTTGTATATACACACACGTGTTCAAGAGTGTTCATGTCTAGGTGTTGGTGTGTGCGTCTTGTGCCTCTGGGATGACGCAGGTGTAGTGGGTGTGGAGGTCACAAGGCTGCCGTGTCCTGCCTGCAACCGTCAGTTCATCTTCCGCTCTAGTCTAGAGCATCACGTGCAGAGGAGACACCCCACTAAGCCCAGTAACAAAAGTCATCAGTGTGACCAATGTCCATACAGCACAGACCGCAAGAGTAGCTTGAAGATACACCAGAGAACACACACGAGAGAGAAGCCGTTCAAGTGCACCGTGTGTGAGAAGGCGTTTGCACATCTACAACATCTTCACAGCCACCAGAGAACACACACGGGAGAGAAGCCGTTCAAGTGCACCGTGTGTGAGAAGGCGTTTGCACAACTACCACATCTTCACAGCCACCAGAGAACACACACGGGAGAGAAGCCGTTCAAGTGCACCGTGTGTGAGAAGGCGTTTGCACATCTACAACATCTTCACAGCCACCAGAGAACACACACGGGAGAGAAGCCGTTCAAGTGCACCGTGTGTGAGAAGGCGTTTGCACAACTACCACATCTTCACAGCCACCAGAGAACGCACACGGGAGAGAAGCCGTTCAAGTGCACCGTGTGTGAGAAGGCGTTTGCACAACTACCAGATCTTCACAGGCACCAGAGAACACACACGGAAGAGAAGCCGTTCAAGTGCACCGTGTGTGAGAAGGCGTTTGCACGGCTATCAGATCTCCACAGCCACCAGAGAACACACACGGGAGAGAAGCCGTTCAAGTGCACCGTGTGTGAGAAGGCGTTTGCATTACTATCAACACTTCATAGCCACCAGAGAACACACACGGGAGAGAAGCCGTTCAAGTGCACCGTGTGTGAGAAGGCGTTTGCACGGCCATCAACACTTCACAGGCACCAGAGAACACACACGGGAGAGAAGCCGTTCAAGTGCACCGTGTGTGAGAAGGCGTTTGCATTACTATCAACACTTCATAGCCACCAGAGAACACACACGGGAGAGAAGCCGTTCAAGTGCACCGTGTGTGAGAAGGCGTTTGCACGGCCATCAACTCTTCACAGCCACCAGAGAACACACACGGGAGAGAAGCCGTTCAAGTGCACCGTGTGTGAGAAGGCGTTTGCACGGCCATCAACACTTCACAGCCACCAGAGAACACACACCGGCCAGAATGCATTTTCTCATCCACGTGAAAACAGAAAAGTCAGCCATCCAGAGCACAAAGCGCACAGCGCCGAGCTGTGAATTAGTTTCAAACAACAGGCCACGTGATTAGCCGAGGCTGTGCCACTCTTGAAACTGATTTTGAACGTGAACACGGAAACCTACGGAATCCTCCTACACCTGCCTCACACCCTGTGGGGGGCGGGAGATTAAACCGGTCCCAACCACTGCACGTCCCCACCCCACCCCCACCACCTGGGGGTCCCTGTGTGTGTGAGTGTGCAGAGTCCCCCGTGCAGAGCTGCACTGTTGTTACCCTAGAGGGGGGCACCGCAGGGCGATCCACCTACAGATACCCCAGTCTGCACGTCTCCCGCCGCTCTCCGTGAGCACCGCGTGCCGACTCGTAGCCCTGCCCCGTGCGACGTATGTACAGTGCGTACAGTGCGTACCCATCCAGCGGTAGGCCGAACCGCGGCCGATGACGAAGGTGGCGTCCGCTCACGAATCTCCGTGCACTCAGTCCCGTAGCCCCGAGCCATCGCTTGCGCGATATTCACTTTGCTGCTGAGAGGGAAGCTACGGGGAGGAGGTGGGGGGTCGGGGGTTGGTAGGAGAGGACATCTGTAGAACGGCTGGAAATCTGCGGAGAAGAGCTTCATAGCTCATCGGATTCCTGTGGCCTGAAAAAATATTCAGAGATGGCGTTGGGGGGGTGTAGGCATGAGTGGGCCATCTGCGCTTGGATCACCATGCGTGTTGTTGCTGCTGCCTCCCCCGTTGAAAATGTTCCCGGCGTGAACTTTGACCCTTTGCCGTTGCGACGACGCCGCGCGCCGTGCGTGAACGTCGTCGTCGTCGGAACAACGAAACGCAGTGAGAACTAAAGTAACTTTATCGGTAGCGAGGCTCCCACAGGGCCACGCGGGGCAGGGAGCGTGGCACAGTTTTGGCGCCGGCTAGCGCAGAGTGGCGGCGGTCGCGTCGCTACGCTTCTCTGCGGTGAGCAACGACGTCTTGATAACAACAGTAGCAGCAGCCGCTCGCTCAATTCGTGGGATTCTGCGGTGAACGGTGAAACCCACCCCGTGAAAGGTGACGCCCACCCCGTGAAAGGTGACGCCCACCCCGTGAACGGCGACGCCCACCCCGTGAACGGCGACGCCCACCCAGTGAACGGCGACGCCCACCCCGTGAACGGCGACGCCCACCCCGTGAACGGCGACGCCCACCCCGTGAACGGCGACGCCCACCCCGTGAACGGCGACGCCCACCCCGTGAACGGTGACACCCACCCCGTGAACGGCGACGCCCACCCAGTGAACCGTGACACCCACCCTGTAACTCTGCAGACGTCTCGGACGTGGGAAAGTGTTGAGAGATTCTCTGCATCGTCCCGGTTGCTCGCGTGTCGTCGCACGGTGGTGGCGCGCGTTGACTCTTACACGGTTAAGAAAGTTGAGCGTTAGTTTGTGATTCTGTTTAAAATTATATACTTACTTAAACTAACAAAAATTATCTTGGGATTTTACTAAGTAAGGTCCAACAGAATATGTAGAGGCTCTTTTATCAGACGCTACCACCTGGCCATCACAAATGAAAGCTCAGCGAAGTGGCTCATCATTGTGTGGACATTGATAGCGGCCAGATACTCTGATTGCGTGATCTCGATTCTAAATGTCGAGGGGAAAAACCGGAGGACCTGGAGAAAAATCCACACGACCACGGGGAGAGAGAGAGAGACGCGTAAACTCAAAATATACAGCAGGCGTCAGGGTCGGAATCGAACCAACGATCTCCTATATACCAGGAGAGGTGGTTAACATCTCAACATGCGTTCAGAGTATTTGGCTGCTGTAAATGTCACGTGATAAGCCACTTCGGTGCGCCGCCGTCATTTGTGATAGGCGGGTCGCTACTACGCAGCTCAGTGGGGGCCTTACCTGGAAAAGTAAAGTGAAGTTAAAAAACAAAACCTGCTGTTGAGAATGACCTCACCAGACCGGTGGAGGCAGCGCTGACGTCTTGGTCCCAGTTGGCAGCGCCGGCGTCTCGTTGGTTGTGAAGGCAGCCCAGCTCACACAGCCCGTGCCGGTGTCTCCAGGAGGTGGGAGCGACTTGCTCTGTGTCAGTGTCTCCAGGAGGTCCCAGCGACCTGCTCTGTCAGTGTCTCCAGGAGGTCGGAGCGACTTGCTCTGTGGTGACACTTTGCCGTGACAGAGGTTTGTTCTTTGTTGTTGTTGTGTTAGAGATCTCGTAAACATAAACATTGTGTCGTTAACCCACCGTCACCCACCACCATCGCCTGACACGGCCAATCAGTCAGGGTTTGTCACGTAAACGAAACGTGCCAATTGGTTACCAACTTCAGCACACACGGCGCTTGCGTGTCGGGGAGAGTGAACCCACCACAGCATTTACAATTCGAGTACCGGTGACGTTTCGCCGGCGATTACAAACAACGGCGACTGGCTTCATCGGGCGACGTGCCAGGATTGTGATCCAACGCCATCTAACCCGGCGGCAACGACGACAAAAACCTTCGTCGCAGACACCGCCGGTCGCGAGAGACCGCGCGTGGCGCTTTGTGTTGCCGTCGCGTTGCCGCGAATCGTCGAAGCGCGTTCACGGTCCGTCGTTCTCCTGCAACGCGGCGGTGGTTGTTGCGTTCCTGAAGAACAACCGCGTTGTGGAGAAATAATATAAACTATAATGGGGGGGTGGGGGGTGAAGCGTGGTCCGCGATAACACGCGAGATGATGGGCAAGACAGAGGCGGGACTAAGACCGAGGCGCTTGGGTAGCGTCTAGAAGCATCCAGCAGCATCCCAACGCCTCCTCTTCGTTGCGACGCCGCTACGCCGAGGGCAGCCGCACGTAGAACCGCTTATTCCTGCTCGCGTTGAGACGTAGTTCCGTTCGCTCGGTCGCGTCGCATCCAAGCCGCGTCCGCGTTACGGACGGCATGTATCCCCTTACCATACATTCACGGCGTTACGTCATCCAGTTGGCGTCGTTAGAACTAACACGCGGCGTTGTAGCGGAACCAGACTGTACCCGTTGTCTCCTGCTGTTCAACGCAGAGGCCGCATCGACCGTTCCAATAGTCGCTGTAGCCATTGCGAGCCCCAAGCTGTTGTTGGCTCCCGGCTCTTAAACTCGCGTTTTTCTGGATTTTCTTGTTGTTATTCTGTCTCTCGCTGTTCAAATAAACCTAACGTTAAAATTATAGACTGATCATTTATTTTGTCAGTGGGCAAACGTACAAAATCAGCAGGGGATCAAATGCTTTTTTCCCCCTCACTGTCATCTGTAATCGTTACACACAGCAGCACCTGGTCACAACTGCTCGCCGCTGATCCTAACAACACCGATCCTAGTCGTCATCCCTGCACGTCAAGGATGGTAAAACTATGACCCAACAAACTTACACATCACACTGTCCTACAGATTTCAATTCACACGCCCCTACAGACTTCACTTCACACGCCGCTACAGACTTCAATTCACACGCCCCTACAGACTTCACTTCACACGCCCCTACAGACTTCACATCACACTGTCCTACAGATTTCAATTCACACGCCCCTACAGACTTCACTTCACACGCCGCTACAGACTTCAATTCACACGCCCCTACAGACTTCAATTCACACGCCCCTACAGACTTCACTTCACACGCCCCTACAGACTTCACATCACACTGTCCTACAGACTTCAATTCACACGCCCCTACAGACTTCACTTCACACGCCCCTACAGACTTCACTTCACACGCCGCTACAGACTTCAATTCACACGCCCCTACAGACTTCACTTCACACGCCCCTACAGATTTCAATTCACACGCCCCTACAGAGTTGTGTTGGTCACGTGCCTACCTTTCCTATACTCTGCACTCCCATGGTGTTTATTTATTGTGTTTGTTGTTGTGGCGTTCTGACCCCGTGCACCTACTGTGGACGTCTGTGGATAATAAAGAGCTTCACAGCTCATCGGATTCCTCCAGAATAAAAAAAAATAACTTAAAAACTCTGATGACGTCACTGCGTGGTGACGTCACGCGTCTCGCCCCCCCCCCACTCCCCCGTTACCCCCCACCCCTCCCACCCCCGTTACCCCCCCCCACTCCCCCCCACCACCAACCACCGCCATTGGCCACTCAGTGACGGTGACGTCCCCACGGCGCCTGTGCCAGGCTGGGTGCACTTCGAGGCTGCCGCGTGAAGTGAGGTGGTGACGTCACGCGAGCGTTGTGTTTAACGATTACAGTGGCACGCGGCCTGCACTACGTGAGGGTTACTTTGACACAACGTTACCTCTATCTGAGGTAAAGTTACCTCTACCTGAGGTAAAGTTATCTCTATCTGAGGTAAAGTTACCTCTATCTGAGGTAAAGTTACCTCACCTGAGGTAAAGTTACCTCTATCTGAGGTAAAGTTACCTCTACCTGGGGTAAAGTTACCTCTATCTGAGGTAATGTTACCTCTACCTGAGGTAAAGTTACCTCTATCTGAGGTAATGTTACCTCTACCTGAGGTAAAGTTACCTCTATCTGAGGTAATGTTACCTCACCTGAGGTAATGTTACCTCTATATGAGGTAAAGTTACCTCCATCTGAGGTAACGTTACCTCTACCTGAGGTAATGTTACCTCTATATGAGGTAATGTTACCTCTACCTGAGGTAAAGTTACCTCTATCTGAGGTAAAGTTACCTCTACCTGAGGTAAAGTTACCTCTATCTGAGGTAAAGTTACCTCACCTGAGGTAAAGTTACCTCTATCTGAGGTAAAGTTACCTCTATCTGAGGTAAAGTTACCTCTACCTGGGGTAATGTTACCTCTACCTGAGGTAAAGTTACTTCACCTGAGGTAAAGTTACCTCTTCCTGGGGTAAAGTTACCTCACCTGAGGTAATGTTACCTCTACCTGAGGTAATGTTACCTCTATCTGAGGTAAAGTTGCTTCACCTGAGGTAACGTTACCTCACCTGAGGTAAAGTTACCTCACCTGAGATAATGTTACCTCTACCTGAGGTAAAGTTACCTCACCTTCCATTGCATTCCGATTATCTAACCCTGAGGTAATAATCACGCGAGCATTGTGTTTAACGATTTAACCACGTGAGAATATAACGCTAATATTACGATATGAGCATTAGCTGAAGTGATGTGAATACGTTAGGATTACCTCAAATAATGTTACATTTACCTGAGGTGATGTTACCTCCCCGAGGTAAAGTTACCTCTACCTGAGGTAAAGTTACCTCTACCTGAGGTAAAGTTACCTCTATCTGAGGTAAAGTTACCTCACCTGAGGTAAAGTTACCTCTACCTGAGGTAAAGTTACCTCTACCTGGGGTAATGTTACCTCTATCTGAGGTAATGTTACCTCCACCTGAGGTAAAGGTACCTCTACCTGAGGTAAAGTTACCTCTATCTGAGGTAAAGTTACCTCTACCTGAGGTAAAG